CCTCGGCCTCCCAAAGTGCTGGGATTACAGGCTTGAGCCACCGCGCCCGGCTGCTTTCTTTATTTTCTTTTTGAGACAATCTCTCTCTGTCACCCAGGCTGGATTGCAGTGGTACGATCTTGGCTCATTGCAACCTCAGCTTCCAAGGTTCAAGCAATTTTCCTGCCTTAGCCTCCAGAGTAGCTGGAAAATGTGGCACATATACACCATGGAATATTATGCAGCCATCAAAAATGATGAGTTCATGTCCTTTGTAGGGACATGGACGAACCTGGAAACCATCATTCTCAGCAAACTGACACAAGAACAGAAAATCAAACACCGCATATTCTCACTTATAGATGGGTGTTGAACAATAAGAACACATGGACACGGAGGGGAGCATCACACACTGGGGTCTGTTGAGGGGAAATAGGGGAGGGACAGCAGGGGGTGGGGAGTTGGGGAGAGATAGCATATCCCAGATATAGGTGAAGGGGAGGAAGGCAGCAAATCACGCTGCCATGTGTGTGCCTATGCAACAATCTTGCATGTTCTTCACATATAACCCAAAACCTAAAATGCAATTTTAAAAAAAAATGTTTTTTGTATTTTTAGTACAGATGGGGTTTCACCATGTTGGTCAGACTGCTCTCGAATGCCTAACCTCGTGATCTGCCCTCCTCAGCCTCCCAAAGTGCTAGAATTACAGGCATGAGCCACCACACCTGGCCCCATAGCTTTCTTTTCTTGCACTATCTTCATGCCATTTGGAATCAGGGTAATGCTGGCCATATAGAATGAGTTAGAAGTGTGTGTGCTGGCCGGGCGCGGTGGCTCAAGCCTGTAATCCCAGCACTGTGGGAGGCCGAGGCGGGTGGATCACGAGGTCAAGAGATCGAGACCATCCTGATCAACATGGTGAAACCCCGTCTCTACTAAAAATACAAAAAATTAGCTGGGCATGGTGGCGCGTGCCTGTAATCCCAGCGACTCAGGAGGCTGAGGCAGGAGAATTGCCTGAACCCGGGAGGCGGAGGTTGCGGTGAGCCGAGATCGCGCCATTGCACTCCAGCCTGGGTAGCAAGAGGGAAACTCCGTCTCAAAAAAAAAAAAAAAAAAGAAGTGTGTGTGCTACAGTTTTTGAGAGATTTTGAAAAGGATACATGTTCTTAGTTAAGATTGGTAGAATTTATCTGTGAAGCCATCAGGTCCAGGGCTTTTCATTAAGGTTTGTCAATGGTTTTTGTTTTGTTGTTGTTGTTGTTGTTGTTTGAGATGGAGTCTTGCTCTGTCTTCTAGGCTGGAGTGCAGTGGTGTGGTCGTGGCTCACTGAAACCTCGCTTTCTGAGTTCAAGCAATTCTCCTGCCTTGGCCTCCCAAGCAGCTGGGGTTACGGGCACACGCCACCACACCTGGCTAGTTTTTGTATTTTTAATAGAGATGGGGTTTCACCATGTTGACCAGGCTGGCCTTGAACTCCTGACCTCAGGTGATCCACCCACCTTGGTCTCCCAAAGTGCTGGGATTACAGGCGTGAGCCAGGTTTGTCAATTTTGTAACTTTTTCAAAGAAACACCTTTTAATTTTATTTTTGGTTCTATTGTTTTTCTCTTCTCTATTTTATTTATCTAGGCTTTAGTCATTATTTTTTTCCTGTCAGCTTTGGTTTTAGTTTTTTCTTCTTTTTATCTCTTAAGTTGTAAAAATAGATTGTTGAGATCTTTCTTCTTTTTTTATTCTGTTATCAAGCTGGAATGCAGTGGCACGATCTCAACTTGCTGCCACCTCCGCCTCTTACGTTCAAGCAATTCTCCTGCTTCAGCCTCCAGAGTAGCTGGGACTACAGGCATACACCACCACGCCGAGCTAATTTTTGTATATTTAGTAGAGATGAGGTTTCACCATATTGGCCAGGCTGGTCTTGAACTCCTGACCTTGGATCCGCCCACCCCAGCCTCCCAAAGTGCTGGGATTACAGGCGTGAGCTACTGTGCCCAGCCTCTTCTTTTTTAATGTAAGTGTTTATAGCTACAAATTTCCCCTTTAGTACTGCTTTTACTGCATCTCAAGTTTTGGTAGGTTATTTTCATTTTCATTCATCTCTTAACTGTTTTCTAATTTCCCTTGTGATTTCTTTGTGGTGCCATTGGTTGTTCAATATTGTATTAATTTCTACAGATTTATAAATTTTTTACTTTCCTTCTGTTAAGAGTTTCCAACCTCATCCCATTGTGGTTGGAGAAGATACTTTGTATGATGTGTATCTTTCTAAATCTAGTGAGGCTTAATTTATGGTCTGTCCTGGAGAATGTTCTAGGTATATCTGAGGAGAATTTTATATTCTGTTGTTGTTGGGTAGAATGCTCTTTGTATATTTTTTTAGAGCTAGTTGGTTGGTTAGTTCCTCTGTTTTCTTACTTCTCTCTGATTGTTCTATCCACTGCTGAGAGTCAGATATTGATGTTTCTAACTATGATTGTAGAACCATTCATTTCTCCCTTCAGTTCTGTCCATTTTTGCTTCATGTGGTTTTGTTTTGTTTTGTTTTGTTTTTTTATATAAATATGGTGTTTCACCATATTGGTCAGGCTGGTCTTGAACTCCTGACCTCAGGTGATCCACCCACCTCAGCCTCCCAAAGAGCTGGGATTACAGGCATGGGCCACCGTGCCCAGCTTGCTTCATGTGTTTTGATAGTCTATTATTAGGTGCATAAATGTTTATGAATGTTGCATCTTCTTGCTGTATTGAACCTTTTATTAGTTTATAATATCCTTTTAAATCACTACCCTTTTAGGTTTAAAGTCTCTATTCTATGATATTAGTGTAGCCTTTCTTACTCTTTTTTGCTTACTATTTGCATGGCATATCTTTTTGCAAGCTGTCACTTCCAGCTTGTTTATATCTTGGATCTAAAGCAAATCTCTTGTAGACATCATAAAGTTGGATCATCGGTTTTGGTTTTGTTTTTTTTATTTATTTTTATTTTTTATTTATTTATTTTTTTTGAGACGGAGTTTCACTCTTGCTACCCAGGCTGGAGTGCAATGGCGCGATCTCGGCTCACCGCAACCTCCGCCTCCTGGGTTCAGGCAATTCTCCTGCCTCAACCTCCTGAGTAGCTGGGATTACAGGCACGCGCCACCATGCCCAGCTAATGTTTTTTTGTAGTTTTAGTAGAGACGGGGTTTCACCATGTTGACCAGGATAGTCTCGATCTCTTGACCTCGTGATCCACCCGCCTCGGCCTCCCAAAGTGCTGGGATTACATGCATGAGCCACCGCGCCCGGCCTGGTTTTGTTTTTTTTAACCCATTCTGCCAATCTTTGTCTTTTGGCAGAGTTTAAACCATTTACATTTAAGGTAATCACTGATAAGGAAGGGCTGACTCCTATCATTTTCTTTGTTTTCTCTGTATCCTACAGCCTTATAGCTTTTTTTTTTATCCTAATTTCCTGCATTTCTGCTTCTTTTGGTTTTGGCTCACTTTTTTTTTTTTTTTTTTTTTTTTTTGTGGTAGTTAGTTTTTATTTTTTGTCATTTCCTTTGTGTACTTTTTTTAAATGCAGTCTCACTCTGTCACCCAGGCTGGAGTGCAGTGGAGCAATTTTGGCTCACTGCAACCTCTGCCTCTCGGGTTCCGGCAATTCTCCTGCCTCCTGAGTAGCTGGGATTAAGCATGCACCACCATACTTAGCTAATTTTTGTATTTTTCATAGAGACGGGGTTTCGCCATGTTGGCCAGCCTGGTCTCAAATTCCTGATCTCAGTTGATCCACCCATCTTGGCCTCCCAAAGTGCTAGAATTACAGTCATGAACCAGCATACCCAGTTCTTTTTATTTTTATTTTTTATTTTTTTTAAGATGCCAGTTAGCAAACACCCAGCTCTTTGTATACTTTTCGAAGCTCTTTTTGTTTGTTTGTTTTTTTGAGACAGAGTCTTTGTTGCCCAGGCTGGAGTGCAGTGGCACAATCTCAGCTCATTGCAACCTCTGCCTCCTGGGTTCAAGTGATTCTCCTGCCTCAGCCTCCCAAGTAGCTGGGATTACAAGCGCCTACCACCACACCCAGCTAATTTTTTGTATTTTTAGTAGAGATGGGGTTTCACTATATTGGCCAGGCTGGCCTCAAACTCCTGACCTTGTGATCTGCCTGCCTTGGCCTCCCAAAGTGCTGGGATTACAGGCGTGAGACACCATGTCCAGCCCTGTAGGTCTTTTTTTAAATGATTATCTTGGGGATTACATTTAACATCCTAAAGTTACAACCCTCTAACTTGAATTTATACAAACTTAACTTTTTTTTTTTTTTAAGATGGGGTTACACCATGTTGGTCAGGCTGGTCTTGAACTCTCGACCTCAGGTGATCTACCCGTCTTGGCCTCCAAAGTGCTTGGATTACAGGCATGAGCCACCACGCCCAGCCAAACTTAACTTCTTTACCTTTCCTGTGTTCTTTTTTTTGTGTCGAGTTGTTCTGGGCCAGTGTTACTTGCTCATGTGTCCTGTCTTTCCATTAGGACTTATATCATCCTGGTCCCATGTAGTTGCTCAACTAGGGCTAGGGGAAGTGTCCTCTGTTCTTCACAGGATATTCATGACTCCAGCCTCAGCAAGATGGGATTAGAGAGGGCCTGATCCAGATGAATGGCACTTGGGAAAAGACATGTCATCAGGTCTGTCTTTTTTTTTTTTTTTTTGGAACAGAGTTTCGCTCCTGTTACCCAGGCTGGAGTGCAATGGCGCGATCTCGGCTCACCGCAACCTCCGCCTCCCAGGTTCAGGCAATTCTCCTGCCCCAGCCTCCTGAGTCGCTGGGATTACAGGCACGCACCACCATGCCCAGCTAATTTTTTGTATTTTTAGTAGAGACGGGGTTTCACCATGTTGACCAGGATGGTCTCGATCTCTTGACCTCGTGATCCACCCGCCTTGGCCTCCCAAAGTGCTGGGATTACAGGCTTGAGCCACTGCGCCCGGCAGGTCTGTCTTTAAATTGCACCAGGAACCTGTCCTGTTTGACTTGTTTTGATGCCATTGCCAGAAACACCTCAATTCGACCTTTTCGTATTTCCACCACTTGTCATTTTTATTTTGACTTCTAGCTAGGGCTAATCCACACTTCTCTGGACTCTTTATCCCACCTGTTCTTCACAGTGTTCCTTCTGTAGTGTTCTCTAATATTATTGGGTCCTGAAGTGTGCACATCTCCCTTAATAGTCCCTGAACACCACTTACTATTCCAGTGAGATTTTCCTGGGCCTGGACATATACTTCACAGCATCACTTGTCACCAGCAGATATGATCTCACTAAAAGCTATTATCAGAGGAATTCATTGTACAACACGCCTCTTAATTCTGGGCTGTACCTTATCCTTGTGCACTGTACCTGGTAGGGCCTACCCTACCCTATTCAGTGACCTTAGGGATCAGTCATGCACAACAGCTGCTTCCTCAACCTGACCCCTAACTTACTTTTCCTGAAAATAGGCCCATGTTACTGGTTCTTTGCTGTGATTGATATGTATTTGCGATTGCATTGCCTCCTCCTAATAAAGGTAACATGTACTTCACCATGACCTCTTTACTTTTAGGTTATTGGCGTGGATTGGAGCATGAGGAAGCACCTTCCTCATCAGTGGGTACAGACATTCTACAGAGAATTTCTGTAAAAGGAGTGCCACAGTTCAGAACTTCAGAAGGTTCATCTTCTCAGAATGCCTACTCCTGTGAGATATGTGGCTTGGTCTTGAGAGATATTTTGCACTTGGCTGAACACCAAGGAACAAATTGTAGGCAGAAACTACACACATGTGGAGAACAATTCTACATCAGTGCAAATCTTCAGCAGCACCAGAGGCAGCACATTAAAGAAGCACCTTTCAGAAGTTATGTGGACACAGCCTCATTTACAAAGAGCTGCACAGTCCATGTGTCAGAGAAGCCCTTCACCTGCAGGGAGATTGAGAAAGGCTTCCTGGCCAACATGAGGTTTCTCCATCAAGAGGCTGCTCAAACAGTGGAGAAGCCAAATAACATTAACAAGTGTGGGGTGGCCTTTTACAGTGGAAAAAGTCATCACAACTGGAGAAAATGCAATAAAGCCTTTAGCCACACAGACACACTTGTTCAGGACCAGAGAATCCTCACTAGAGAAGGGCTTTTTGAGTGCAACAAATGTGGGAAAGCATGTACACGAAGATGTAACCTTATTCAGCACCAGAAAGTCCACAGTGAAGAAAGGCCTTATGAATGCAATGAATGTGGAAAATTCTTTACCTACTACTCCAGTTTCATTATACATCAGAGAGTTCACACAGGAGAAAGGCCTTTTGAGTGCCCTGAATGTGGGAAATCCTTTAGTCAGATCTATAGCCTCAATAGCCATAGGAAAGTTCACACTGGAGAAAGGCCTTATGAATGTGGGGAATGTGGGAAATCTTTTAGCCAAAGGTCTAACCTCATGCAGCATCGCAGAGTTCACACTGGTGAAAGGCCTTATGAATGCAGCGAATGTGGGAAATCTTTTAGCCAAAACTTTAGCCTCATTTACCACCAGAGAGTTCACACTGGAGAAAGGCCTCATGAGTGCAATGAATGTGGAAAATCCTTTAGTCGAAGCTCCAGCCTCATTCACCACCGGAGACTTCACACTGGAGAAAGACCCTATGAATGCAGTAAATGTGGGAAATCATTTAAGCAAAGCTCCAGCTTCAGTTCACATCGGAAAGTCCACACAGGGGAAAGGCCTTATGTGTGTGGGGAATGTGGGAAATCCTTTAGCCATAGTTCCAACCTTAAGAACCACCAGAGAGTTCACACTGGAGAAAGGCCTGTCGAGTGCAGTGAATGTAGCAAATCCTTTAGCTGTAAATCTAACCTCATTAAACACCTGAGAGTTCACACTGGAGAAAGGCCTTATGAGTGCAGTGAATGTGGGAAATCCTTTAGCCAAAGTTCTAGCCTCATTCAACACCGGAGAGTACACACTGGAAAAAGGCCTTATCAGTGCAGTGAATGTGGGAAATCCTTTGGTTGCAAATCTGTTCTCATTCAACACCAGAGAGTTCACACTGGAGAAACGCCTTAGCTGTACTGAGAATATGCAGTTTTCTTTTAGTGTAATTATACTGGAGGAGTACACCTATTTTTTGACGGAAACATGTACCTGAATTGGAAGCCCCAACATCTGAAGATACACAGTGGGCAGATTCCCCTTAAGTTCCAGGTAGGTGTTACACTTTCTAACGTGCCATTTAGAAAGTGTTACACTTTCTCACCTGCCATTTATGGCTTCTGCCATTTATGTCACTGACAGTTTCTGAGACAGAAGCCACATCATGTCTGCTACCTATGAGGTCCACAAAGTGTGCATCACTTATCACCTTAACCTACTCAAAAAAGCAGAATTCTATTTCTCCCCATTTGCTAGAAGAAATCATGAATAGTCTTGTCTTCCTATCTGAGAATTTAGAATAACTTGACTCAGCTTTGTGCCAGAGAACCCAATATGAGTGTTGTTGGCAACTTGCCAAGAAGGACTATCTTTTTTAGGACATGTTGGTTTCATGTGATACCTCCATGTTTTTTTTTTTTTTTTCCAGCCTCTAAGTCACCAACTTGGGAACTGCTTACGTCACCTTGCTTTGTTTTTTACAATAATAAAGGCATTATTATTTAAGCTACCTTTATGTTGGTGTTTTATTCACTGTTGAGGTAATTCCAAAACAGAACTGGGCCCTGCCAGCTTTACAGAGAAAACACCTTTGGAGAGGGAGTTGTCACATTATTTGTATTGCCTCAGAGACAACAATATAGTAGAAAAATGCAGCTGTCTTTCCAGTTTTTACCTGATTTGAATTTGAATTATTACCCAAGGCTCTCTAGGAAATACTGCAGGGTTTTATGGTCTTAATTTGTGGACTGGATGCCAGGATTTTTTTGTGGGCTCAAAGGACACCCTGAGGAAGTGGGAAATTGTTGTGACAAACTCCAGTGCTTCTGGGAACAAGATGAATTTTGTTCTTGTCCACAGGGATTATTACATAATGACCAGCACTGTTGAGGCAGTCCACCCCAGCTCCTGCCAAGGAGCCAAGTGCCCCAAAACAGTTTAGTAGGCTACTGTCTCTGTAAAATGGGGGAACCGTAATTAGTATGGAAACCAATTATGTGGATTAGTAGGGAGTGATTGAGACTGCAGCAAACTGGATGGAATATGCCCCTTGTAATATGTTCTAGTAATTTTGCAGGATCAGTGAGTACAGACATTCTCAGAATTTCCAGGCATGTGTACTTTTTGTAGCTGAGGTGACTGTCAAAAATGACAATCTAAATGTTTTGTGTATTCCAGTAACCCTTCTGGGATGTCTACCTCAACGCCATTGCTGCATAGGTCAGGAAAACAAGCATAGAAAAAAGGGGTGGGGGGTGTCCTTCCAAGAATGTGGCTTTGTAACCTACCATCATCCTGTGAATAAATTCAAATCAGTTTCATTGATTACCAATATTTGCTGCCCACTGAGGCAAGGTGTCCCTCCAAGGTCATCAGAAAAGAAATAGAGTAAACGTAAGGTTACCAAACCTAGTCAAAAACACATTATGTCATCATTATTACAATGAACACATCAGTCACCTCTGATATACCTCGGGCCTTTTTCTAATCTCTCCCTCCCCTCTCTGGCCCTCAAGGCAACCATTGATTTATACCTTCATTTATAATAGGTTAGCTTGTATTTTCTATGATTTGATTTATAAAATGTGTTTTTTTCTCCGGTTTCATTTATGATGCATAATTATTTTGAGATTCTTCAATGAAGCTTGTATGAGTTGTTCATTCTTATTGCTGAGTGGTACATTTTTTATGGATATACTATTTGTTATCCACTTGTTTATGAGCATTTAGTTTATATCTAGTTTTGGCTATTGCAAATAAAGCTGCTACAAACATACAATTCTTCATAAATATAGTTTTTCACTTCCCTTGTGCAGTGCCTGAGACACAGGATAAGTGAATGTTTGACTTATTAAGAAATGGCCAAATTTGGGCTGGGCGCGGTGGCTCAAGCCTGTAATCCCAGCACTGTGGGAGGCCGAGGTGGGTGGATCACAAGGTCAAGAGATTGAGACCATCCTGGTCAACATGGTGAAACCCCGTCTCTACTAAAACTACAAAAAATTAGCTGGGCATGGTGGCGCGTGCCTGTAATCCCAGCTACTCAGGAGGCTGAGGCAGGAGAATTGCCTGAACCCAGGAGGCGGAGGTTGCGGTGAGCCGAGATCGCGCCATTGCACTCCAGCCTGGGTAACGAGTGAAACTCCGTCTCAAAAAAAAAAAAAAAAAAAAAAAAGAAATGGCCAAATTGATCTAAAATGGCTGTTTGCTCTTGCTTACCTACTGGGAATGTATGAGAATTCCAGCTTTTCCACATCCTTGCCAATAGTTGGTATGGTCTATCTTTTAGAATTTACCTTTTTAATAAGTGTGCAGTAGTTTTAATTGCATTTCCCTAAGGATTCATGATATTAAACATTTTCATGTGTTTATTTGCCTGCTGTATGTCTTCTTTGATAAAATGTTTGTTCATATATTTTGTCTGTTAGGAATTGTGTCTGTTTCACTTTTCATCAACAAATAACTAATTTTTATTCCACAATTATTTTCATGGTATGCACAGTATAATTACCACATATACCACACACTTTCAAATATAATCTATATTATTCACATATTCTCTATCACATTCTTAAGTTTAGACACAATAAATCAGGCTATGGTTTATAGTGTTTGCCAGTTTCTCTGGTGTAAAACTTCCCATTGTGGCCTATATCAAACTGTCAACATGTCACTGAACTTGGGGTTGGGAAGAGCTGTCAGAAACATACCATTTCCACAGTAGTGATCCATGCTTAAATTTACTTCTAAGTAAATTTATTTGCAACTCTACTACCTGCAAATAGCCTCTAGAATGTAGATAGTAAAACATAGTAAAATGATTAGGAAGTGACAAGTTTTGGATTTTTTTTTCCCATGTCTCTTAAAACAACAACTCAGTCATCCAAGGTTGGCCACCCTGTTTAAGGATCTTATGTGCGGCCATGCTGCTGGCCTCAGAAGTGCAAAAACTTACCCTCTATCAACACCTTACTGTTGCATCTTCTCATAACCTGCAAGAATTCATGAGCCATTGCTCCCTTCTTTCCCTCCCACTATCTTACTTACAACAAATACACACCTCCTACATAAACAACCCTCTAATCACCTACCAAAGGTGTAAAGTTCTCAACGCAGCCACCCTCTTCCCTATAAGTATCTCTGATTCTGAACTCTTTTACTCCTGCTTGGACCTTTTAGATTCCCTTTCCTCCCCTTTCCAGCACATATCAGAGACCTCCTTACAGAGGATACCTACATGGTTCATTGATGGGAGCTGTTTTATTTTTTATTTTATTTTATTTATTTTTTACTCTTTTTTTCTCTCTTTTTTTTTCTTTTTTTAATTCTTTTTCCCAGCTTCCAGGAGATGGGAGCTGTTTTAAAGAGCCATGTCCTGCAGCAGATTACACCATCATTGCCAAAACCCCCCATACCACCTACTAACAGGCAGAATTAGTTGACCTTAACAGGGCACTCACCCTAGCGAAAAGAAAAAGGGTCAATCTTTACACTGACTCTAAGTATGCATACCACATTCTACACTCCCAAGCCTTAATCTCACAGGAAAGAGGTTTTCTTTTTTTTTTTTTTTTTTTTTTGAGACGGAGTTTCACTCATGTTACCCAGGCTGGAGTGCAATGGCGCGATCTCGGCTCACCGCAACCTCCGCCCCCTGGGTTCAGGCAATTCTCCTGCCTCAGCCTCCTTAGTAGCTGGGATTACAGGCACGCATCACCATGCCCAGCTAATTTTTTGTATTTTTAGTAGAGACGGGGTTTCACCATGTTGACCAGGATGGTCTCGATCTCTTGACCTTGTGATCCACCCGCCTCGGCCTCCCAAAGTGCTGGGATTACAGGCTTGAGCCACCGTGCCCGGCGGAAAAGAGGTTTTCTTAGTACCAAAGGGACCCCCATAGTAAATGGCAAACTGATACACAGGTTGCTGGAGGCAGCTAAACTACCATTAGAGGCCACCATTATCCATTGCAAGGAACACTAGAAAGCTACAGATGCCATAACCAAGGGAAACTTTTTTTTTTTTAAAGACGGGGTTTCACCATGTTGGCCAGGCTGGTCTTGAATTCCTGACCTCAAGTGATCCGCCTGCCACAGCCTCCCAAAGTGCTGAGATTACAGGTGTGAGCCACCATGCCCAGCCCCAAGGGAAACTTTTTGGCAGACTCAGCAGCCTGGCAGGTGGCCCGCAGTACCCCATCACGGCTGCCCATTTTCCCAGCACACATTTCTCATACACCCAGGAGGAACAAGTCACACTAACACTGGGGCTACCCAAAGGGAAGGCTGATGTTATCTTGACAACAAACTCATCTTGCCCAAATCTCAAGAACTCTCTGTTCCCTCCCACATCCACAACCACTTCCATGCGCGTTATTGCCACATACTCCAGTTTTTAAAAACTTACACACGCTCCCCCACCATGACAACCAACCCTGAATGTTTAACAAAAGTCTGCCCGGTTTGTAGTCAGACTTCCCATGAAGGGGTTCTTAAACCACCTCCTTTCCCCACTCACCAGGCATGAGGCCATTTGCCAGGACAGGACTATTAACAATATCGAGGTGATTGATAACTTTCTGTTTTACATTCTATGTATTTAAATATCTTTTAGATGATTTTAATTTGCAATTATTTTTCATTAATAGTTTTTATTAAAAATTGCCTTTTTTGGCGGGGCACGGTGGCTTATGCCTGTAATCCTAGCACTTTGGGAGGCTGAAGTGGGTGGATCACCTGAGGTCAAGAGTTCAAGACCAGCCTGGCCATCATGGTGAAACCCCATCTTTAAAAAAAAAAAAAAAAATGCCTTTTTTCACTGTTGTATGTATTAACGACTTACTTTATCCAAGATTGTAAAAATATACAAATATTTTTACCTCTGAGAGATTTTTTTGTTTGTTTTTGTTTTTGAGAGGGAATCTCACTCCGTTGCCCAGGACAGAGTGCAGTGGCACTATCTCAGCTCACTGCAACCTCCGCTTCCTGGGTTCAAGTGATTCTCCTGCCTTAGCCTCCCATGTAACTGGGACTACAGGCTCGAGCCATCACGCCCAGCTAATTTTTGTCCTTTTTGTAGAGACTGGGATTCCTCACGTTGCCCAGCCTGGTCTCCAACCCCTGAGCTCAAGTGATCCGCCCGCCTTGCCCTCCCAAAGTGCTGGGATTACAGGCGTGAGCCACCACACCCGGTGTTGTTATTCTTCACTTTGAATCCTACAGGTTATTTAACTCCTGAGGCAAAAAAAAAAAATTCCCTTCTGTATTTCAACTAATGCTATTTTATTACTAGGTAATAAGTCCCGATATTGGTGGCCCAGATGGCTCTCAACGCCGCACCTGCCATCTCGTGCGGAGAATTCCAGTTTCGAAATCGCTCAACAAGCGAGAAGGTTTTGGGATTCGAATTCAGTGGGACAGGCAAAGTCGCCTTTCTTTCATAAACAGATGGAATCCCTGGTCCACAAACGTGCTACACTTTCTTAGAACGCGCGATAGCTGGTGCAGGTGA